CAGCTTGTCAAAAACACCAGAGTAATCCAGAAAGAGAGGATCACTGGAGACCGATGCGGCCGTCGGCCGTGTGGGCAACCTAGGCTTGGGGTCGGGTGCGGCACCAAGAGGCGAAGCAGCCCCCGCGCCAGATGGATCAACTTTTTTCCGGGACCCCGAGCATTCCTGTCCTTTCACTTTACCTCCGTGCCGACATAACTCCCGTCTGGAGTGCTTCTAAAGTGGGTAAAGCAGACGGGGCACTGTTGTAACGTTGGAGCCATATGTGATTAAAAACAACCAAGAAACGAAGGAAAGGAAACAAACCAAGTGGGGTGGATGGATGAATGAATGGATGAACCAGCGAATGACCAAATGAACGGGCCAGCTAACAAACGAATGAATGAGTGAATGATGGGGGAATGAATGAGCTAATTACTGAACGGACGAGTGAGGAAAAAAAAGAATGAATGAGTGAGTGAATAAATGAATGAATGAATGAATGAATAAACAACCAAACGAATGGATGAATGAACGAATACATGAATGAGTGACGGAATGAATGAACGAGCGAACGGATGAATGACTGAATTATCTTTAAATATTTAACCATTGGAAAATATATATAACTTTTTCAACTTTTATTTATTTTTTTTTCTATTCTTTTTTTTATTGATGAAAGAATGAATGAGTGAACAAATGAGTGAATGAGTGAATACAAAAACCTAGGTAACAGTGTGGGAGGAGACAACTATTGCAGCAAACTTTGGCCCAATCTCTCCCCTTATAGTTTTTTTTTTTGTATGTATGTATAGTTTATTTTTATTTTTTTGTATGTATATATGTATGTATGTATGTTTGTTTGTATGTATGTATGTATGTATGTATGTATGTATGTATGTATGTATGTATGTATGTATGTATGTATGTATGAATGTAAGAAATCAGTTTGTTTATTGGGGAAATGAAAATTCAACTTTACGACACAATGGTGCCGGGGTTCCTCAAGGAAGCATCTTAGGACCACTGCTATTCATCATCTTCATCAACGATCTGCCAAATGCAACCGACTACTTCGATTACGTTTGCTTTGCTGACGACATCAACATTTTTGGTAGCAGGAAAGATATTGATGATGTTATCAATCAAACCAACGCTGAAATAAAACACGTTGTCAAATGGTTCAACTCCAATAAACTGCCTATAAACATTTCAAAAACGCAGTTGATTGTCTTCTGACCAGTGCAATATTTAAATTACAAAGAACCGTATAAAATTACAATCAACAACCAAGAAATAATCGAGAGTGAAACAATAAAATTTTTAGATCAGAAACTAATTTTCAAACCCCATGTCAACTACGTTTCGAACAAGTTAGCGAAATCTATTGGAATAATGAACAAAATAAAATTTTACCTTCCGAAAAAATGCTTGAACATGATCTATAACGCCATCTGTCTGCCTCACGTGACGTACTGCAATGTTGTTTGGGCCAGTGCGTATCAAATGACCACCAACCCCGTCAAGATGCTGATGAAGAGGGCAATGAGGGTCATCACGCTGTCCAGGAAGCAAGCGCACACCAATCAACTATTCGTCGCCACCAACAATTTAAACTTTGACAAATTAAATCTTTATATATTGCTTAAATATATAGATAACTATGTAATGTCTAATGTAATGTACTAACAACTAACACCTGTTTTGCTAACATAGTTGAGTTTGTTAATTTACTAACAACTAACATCTAACATGCCTCTCATAGATCATTTAGGAAAAATTTTTATTATTTGCTGAAAATTTGTGTGAACTTGGAACATTTCTGTTTAGGTGGCCATACTAGATGAATTTTATATAAATTCTATTATGGTCATCCTGCTTTCTTTTAATTTTCAATTTTGAGAAGCAAATAAATTTCGTTTCGTTTCGTATGTATGTTTTTATGTGTGCATGTATGTATGTATATATGTGTGTGTATGTATGTTTGTATAAAATTATATATACGTTTATATATAATTGAGTAGTATATACGTAGGTATATACTTGAGTACAAATGTATGTTTATCTATGTGCGTACGGATGTATGCTTGTTAGTTTGTTGGTGTCCGTGTGTTTCTGTATGAACGGCTGCATGTAAACTAGTGATAAATGATGGATGGCATATATAAGTATTATGTCCTACTGAGATAACTTTCCATTCCATTTGACTTTTTTGAATGAATATTTTTGACTTTTTTTTCATTTAAAAAGTATACTTTAAAACATGCAAAAATACCTATACGCATAACTACAAGCAAACACACCGATATTTATACACACATGCACGCACGCACAAACATACGCACGCAAACATAAAATTAATGGGTATAAACATAAAAAATAATGATTTAATTAGAAAAAAATATGCGTGCACCCATGCTTGTTAACTTGTTTGTGTTTATTAAGACACACATTCACACGCGCACACATACACACACACATACGCACGCACACACGCATACAAACACGCACGTTTATATATATATATATATATATTAGCTAAAATTTCATTTCAGCTAAAGAGTTGGTGATGAAGAGTTCATACAAACTTAAGCAAATGTCTGAAGAACTTAGTAAGGTATGGATTGCCAATGATCTGACTGCTGAACAGAGGAGTGAATTGAAAAGTTTGATTGCTAATGCAAAGACAAGAGAAGCTGCATGTACGGGAGGTTTTTTATACAGGGTCAGAGGACCTGTGGGAAAGTGGCGGATCGTGAGTTTCAAAAAGTCATAAAAGGTAAAGGTAAAAGTCATAAGAAAAACAATGGTTGTAAAATGCTTAACAATGTTAAAATAGGACTAGGGCTTTTGAATATTAGGTCAATTTTGTCGAAATATGATAAAGTGTATGAGGTAATTTGCGATGGTTTGGATATCTTAGTTTTGACTGAAACATGGCATGGGTCCAGAAATGAAATTGCTGTTAGGCGGGCAATGTCACCAGGTTATAATTTTGTGGATTTTGTCAGACCTCATGATCCATTTCATGGTGGATTAATAATTTATTTAAAAAAATGTTTTATTTTTAAACTCATCAGATTACATGTGTTAAAGACTTTTGAGGCATTAGCCATTAAATTAAAAATAAATGGAACTCATATTGTTTTATTGGCTGTTTATAGACCAGGATCGGCTTTAATTTCATCTCTATTCTTTCAGGAGCTTGTTAGAGATAATATCCTTGCTTAGTAACAATGTTGTCTTAGCTGGTGATTTTAATGTGCATGTAGAGAAACACATGGATCCTCACAGTGTGTCATTATGTGAGATTTTTGGTAATTTTAATCTTGTTAATAGAATAAATGAACCAACGCATGAATTAGGAGGTGTGTTAGACCTGATTATCACTTCTATGTCTTTTCCAGTTTTCGATATTCGAGTTCTGCCTCCGGGAGTTTTCTTTGATCATGGTTTGGTTCAGGCATGTTTATCAATTGATCAAGTTATAAGAATGAAAAAAAAAAGGATGGTTCGATCATGGAAAAACATGAAGCACGATCGTTTTATTTCTTTGGTTCTTGATTCTCCTTTAAATAGATTATGCCAGGGTGGAAATACTGATGATTTATGGAATTTATTTGAAAGCGAAATGACGAAAATCACTGAAATAGTTGCACCTTATCGTATGGTTGAGGTTAGAAATGATCCGATGGCACCTTGGTTTGATTCTGAATGTAGACGGTCGAAGGCTTATTGTAGAAAAATGGAAAAACGATATAGAAAAACGTTGAAGAAAGAAGATAAAAAAAACTGGGTAATGGCCATGAAAGCAAAAAGTTTCATATACACTCAAAAGAAAAATCTATATTGGAAGGAGCTCGTTAAGGATAATCAAAATAATCCAAAAAAATTTGGAGTATTATTAATAAATTGCTGTGTAAGGAAATTGGTAGTAGCAGTTTAAAAGATGCCACTGACCATACAGCTCAAAATTTTTTAACGTTTTTCAATAATAAAATAGATAAAGTTCGAGAATTGACGAAGACTGCGGATTATCCAAACTTCAATCAGTCAGAGTTCAAAGTTGAAAATGTGTTCTCTACTTTTCCAGTATGCACTGAAGATGATGTTAAAAGTATAGTTCTAAGTTCTCCATCAAAATTATGTTCGTTGGGTATTTTGCCTACGCACATTTTTCAGAAACATATAAATTTGTTTACTAGGTTTTTAACCAGTTTTATTAACCTTTGTTTCAAACAAGGCAACTTTCCAAACAGACTTAAACATGCGATTGTTACACCGCTGTTAAAAAGACCAGGCATGGACATTAATGATTTAAACAACTATAGACCAGTGTCCAATCTTTCGTTTATTTCAAAGGTGATTGAGAGAATTGTTGCCAAGGAGCTGTTGACGCACATACGCCGGAACAATTTATTGCCTGTGTTTCAGTCAGGATATAGACAACATCATTCAACGGAAACGGCTTTGTTGCAGGTTTTATCGGTTTTGTTGGAAAACATCGATGTTGGAAATTTTTTAGATATGAGCGCAGCTTTTGACTGCGTTGATCACGATATCCTCTTAAGACGACTGGCGATCTGTTTTGTTTTATCAGGTACAGTGGAATTATGGTTTCGGTCTTATTTGTTACAACGAACGCAACAGGTGTTATTTATGGATGATTTATTGGCAATTCATTTGGTTTCAACTGGTGTGCCACAGGGCTCGGTGTTAGGACCAATATTATTTTTGTTATGTACGGCTGAGATTTTTAATATACTGGATTTTCATGGATTTATGGGTCACGCTTTTGCAGACGATATTCAGATAACAGTAAATGGACCCCCAGAAAGATTCCAATCTATAGTTGATAACTTTGTCCAGTGTTTATCGGATATTAATAACTGGATGGCAACAAATCGATTGAGGCTAAATCGGAGCAAGACTCAACTGTTGCCAGTTGGTACATGGCAGCAGCTTTCTAAGATGAGTATAGATTCTGTTTTGATTGACGATTTGAATATACAATTTTGTTCCACAGCAACAAGTCTAGGTTGGATATTAGATTCCAGATTGACAATGGTGGAACATATAACATTTTTATCCAAAGTATGTACTGTTCAATTACGAAAATTGAATTTGATGAGAAGATCAATAGATAAAAAAACGGCTGAATGCTTGGTTCATGCATTCATTCACTCGAGACTCGATTACTGTAACAGTTTGTATTATGGATTGCCGGAGAAGTCAATTGCTATGATTCAGTCTATTCATAATCGTGCAGCAAAAGTCGTGGTTGGTGGGGCAAAGTTTGATCATGTAACTCCTATATTTAAAGAACTGCACTGGTTGACGATTGAAAAAAGGGTGATTTTTAAAATATCTATGATCATGTTCAGATGTTTGAATGGATGCGCACCAAAATACCTCGTTGACAAATGTTTGCCACGAGTGGTTTCTACACGAACAATTCGACTTCGGTGTGATGAATTGAATTACATGATGGTTCCGCCTACCCGTTTGAAGATTGGAACAAGAAATTTTTCAGTTTGTGGACCAGCTGTGTGGAATAGCCTTCCTTTTTATTTAAGAAATCATGAATTAAATTTAATTATGTTTAAGAAATTATTGAAAACTTACCTGTTTTTGTTGTAACATACAATTTATGTTTATGATTTATTGAATTTATTTATAGATTTTATAGATGCGGTCATTCATGAATTTATTGCATTATTTATGATGGCGCCTTTGAGATAATAATTCAATTGGCGCTTTATAAATGTCCTGATAATAATAATAATAATAATAATAATAGGCTGGAAGGAGACCATAATTGATGCGATATTTGATAAAATCTACCTTATATAATCTATATTTATTAAATATTATATATATATATATATATATATATAATTTGTCTTAATATATATAAAATATATATATATATATATATATATATATATATATATATAATTAAGATTAAGATTAAGATAAGATTTTCAGAAATGCAATTATTGATGAAAACCGCAGCATGTTCCGCGCGTTAGTTAGCTAATCACGGACTGGAAGCGACATCGGGGACGATCGCGATGATCAATTGGGACTTTTCAAAATCAAATCATTTTATTCAATCAAACAAAACAAAAAGTATGAGTGATTCGGAGACGAAAAAAGAAAATGAATTCTTGTCAGCTCGGCCACCGTGTATCTTAGATTAGCTTTTCAGTGTTCTGATGGTATAACGAGAATTGCTGATAAGTTAGAATTAGAATTGTTAATAAATAAAAGAAATATGTCAATATTAATGGAATAAAATTTTAGCCAATTAATTTCCTTTAGTGAGAGAAGTTTCCTAATTAAATATTTTTTTAGAATTAAAATATTAAATCAACGGTTTCATTGTTCAAGAGCGTTTTTCGAGCATTCCGATGAATAATAGGTATGTCTTTAACTGTGTAATATTTTGATTCGTCTCAATCTCTATCTGTATTCTTTTGTCTCTATTATTATTTGTTGTTTCATAACTGTTTATACATATGGTTAGATCGTTTTTTGTCACATAACGACTAAACTAAAAGCTGAACTTGCAACGTATTTCATATTTTTTCTGTATCAGCTCTAGTATCAGTGTGTGTTGGTTTGTGTATGTTGGTGTGTGCGTGCGTGTTTGCGTGCGTGTTTGCTTGCGTGTGTGTGTGTGTAAGTGTGTGTGTAAGTTTATGTGTGAAAATATTTCTGTACGATGTATGACTGAATATTAATATGACTAAATAAAATACAGAAATAAAACAAATAATTAAATAAGACAATAAATAACTAAATTAATTAAATAATTAAAAAATAATTAAAACAAATAACAATTAAACAAAATTAATTAAATAAAATACAAAGAAATGAAATTTCGTTTGCTTCTTATTCTTACCACCTAGAGAAAATTATTAAAAATATGTGGATATATGTGCGTGCATGGTGCCTGTGTGTGTGTGTATGTGTGTGTTCGTGTGTGTGTGTATATGTGTGTGTGTGTGTGCGTGTGTGTGTGTATGTTTTTGAGAAAATAAAGTTTAATGTGTACTATGATGTTGTGTTGTGTGGTGTGTGTGCGAAATACAGTGAGTTCTTTTATAGGTGGCGTGTTAACTTTACATTACAAATTCATTGTAATTTTCTTTTTTCTATGTTTCACCATTGTCATCCTCATCACCATCGTCATCATCATCATTATCATCATCACCATCGTCATCATCATCATTATCATCATCACCATCGTCATCATCACCATCGTCATCATCATCATCGTCATCATCATTTCCAGGTCTCTCTCCCTGATTGCAAAATATTTCGTATATAAGTTAATGTAAGTAATGATAATGATATTTCTTATCATCATCATCATCATCATCATCGTTAACATTATCATTGTATTTATACAAGAGTATGTATATTAAAGTAATAGTAAGAATAAAGTTAGTAGTTGTAATGTTAGTAGTAGTAGTAGTAGTAGTAGTAGTAGTAGTAGTAGTAGTAGTAGTAGTAGCTTTAGTAGTAGTAGTAGTAGTAGTAGTAGTAGTAGTATTAGTAGTAGTAGTAGTAGTAGTGGTAGTAGTAATAGTAGTGGTGGTAGTAGTAGTAGTGGAATTAGTAGTGGTAGTAGTAGCAATCGTATTCGAGAAACAGTAATTAAATTTCAATTATGCCCATCTTAGAAAGGTTTCCGAAGTGCATTTTAAAATTTATTTAGCATTTAACAAATGTTTGTTTGTTTTTACGTTTGTATATCTGTTTGTTTTTATTTGAATGTCTGCGTGTCTGTTTGTATTTGTTTGTTTGTATATATGTTTGTTTGTTTTATTGTATTTGTTTAAATGTTTATATATCAGTTTGTTTGTATTTGTGTGTATGTATGTATACTGCTTGTTATATATTATTATGTTTGTTTGAATAATTGTATATTTGTTTGAATGTTTGCATATCACATTGTTTGTATTTTTTTTCTTCTGTACATTTTTGTGTTTGCATACGAGTTGTTTACAACAAATATAACCTTGGAAGGATACCCTATTCATTAAATTGAACAAATTTCCAGAAAATTCTAGTAAGGAAAATTGTAAAGGCAATAAATTGAACATTTTCTAAAAATTCTAGTATTCCAAAAAATACAAACAGTCAGATATAAAAAATTCAATCAAATACAAACAAAAATTTATACTTCTTTTCCTCCATCTAATCTCAATAGTACTCTTCAT